TGTAAAATGCTGTAAAATAATACTGGTATATTGTAACCTTTTGTAATATACATTTTAAACAATAATTTCACAATAAATAATTGATTTATTAACAAATAGTTGCATTTCTTCAGTTTTCCTGATGTTTATTCCTTTCCTTGATTTCGAGGGTGTCCTGGAAGGTCCATCTGTAATTCATACGCAAAGAACATTAATTTTTCTAATTTTTAATAAAAGTTATATACAATTTCCGACTAATTTATTGAATTCAATGGTTAATTCAAAGGAAAATTAATATATTCAGCTGTTTTATCAAGTTAAAGCGTACGATAATATTATTTAAGACTTACAATAATCATAAACAATTATCTAAATTGTTATTTAACAAGAAACACTACTTATTCTATAATCAAAGTACTTAAAAATGAAGCAGAAACATTATTTCACTACCTACATTACTAGTAACGTCGAAACAATACAAAATTTATTATAAATACAAATTTTAAACTGCTTACTACATGCAATTATGCTCTAATTTACAATAACTAATATTAAAAGTGAAAAATTCAACGAATTTCTATTTAAAAAATCAACTAACCTGTTATACTTCGTTCCTAAGGATGATCTCGACCCTTCCGCTTTGAACGCTGACGGCAGACTGAGCAGCACAATCCCTCTGGTCTTTGTTACAATCCCCAAATGAAATTCTTCCAATGAAAATATGCGTGATTATAAGATGTTGAAATTAAGCTGTTTTATAAAGTTAAATCGTGCAACACATTTATTTAATATTTCCTATAATTATAGACTACAATCTAAATTGTTATTTAACAAGAAACAATAATTATTCTTCAATTAAAGGACTTGAAACTAAAATATAAGCATTAATAAATGAATAAGTTATGCTGCTTTAGCACTTACATTCTCGACACTATTTTTTCGTAATTTTCGAAGTATTCCAGCGGATTTCAGGATTTATCCAGATTTAATGAATTTATAAGATATCCTATCTTATACTTTATTTGTAATTTCATATTTATATTTCATTTTAATTTCAACCACTATTAATAATGTAATCTTATTCTATGCTGATCGATAACGTTGAAAGTGACACGAAAATGGTAAAGGGGCCCTAGAGCCCCCGTGACATGGCAAAAAATGCGCTGGTTGATAGGTTTATTCTGTACCTCGTCTGTGATTATAGTAATGCAGTATTTTAATTGAAAAAATATCGTAGAAGTTATAATGATAACGAAATATTAGCATCTTCAGACAAAAGAAAAATATAACAAATGGAATATTAAAAATATTAAAAACACGATTGAAATCGATTTTTATTGATAAAATTTATACATTGCTTTATGCAATCATTTTTATAATTAAATAACAGATTTACAGTTTCATTTTCTGCCTATCATATACTGTACATTGACAAATTAAGTAGTTTTAATTTAGAGGAAGTTTCAAGCACTGTATATCTACAGCATCTCCTTTATACCTGTCCAATTGACTTAATAAATGTAATTTCGATTGTTTACAATGTGTTGTGTGCAATTCATACGAAGTACATACATTTAATAAGACAGGTTCTTGTAAACTTTTTACAGGGTCTATTGTAATCATACTTTCATACAAATGTACTGCTGCTTTCAACTGACCTGTATATAAAAGACAAACAGCCATATTGTTGACTAACGCGATATTTGATGGATCCAATCCTTTTGCAACCTGAAAACATTTATATGCATGATGAAAAGAATTATGAGCAACTGCCATTAAGCCTTTGTCCATCAACTCTCTAACAGTTGGACCACCATCTTTTTTGGGTAAATTATTCAGGAATTTTTCTGCTGCTGAAACATCTCCCAGAAATAGGTATAATCTGCCTATACTAGCTTTCAGTCCATCTAATTGCTCAGCTGTCCAATCTGCAGATTCACATAGTTTCTCTAATATATCTATGGCTAATACATAATTTTTCATACTAACTGCACAGTTAGTAATAGATATAAGGACTCTAGATCTTCTGCTTTTCCACAATCGTATAGCATCCT